TTTTTTAAATCGCATATATTTTACGCAGTATTGAGCGAAAACTACTAAAATTTTCAAAAAAGTGTACATGACCTTAATGAAAGAATTCACAATGCGTTCGCATAAGCACAATAGAAGATGCTAACTTAAAACCTTGCAAGCTTCAAGTTTCTGGGCTTAAGACGTAAGAAATGAACCATTCACGGAACGGTAACTCAAAATCGAGAATCGAAATCGGAGCGAAGTCGATAAAAGAACTAACGCCATATGGGTCATGGACATAGTGGATACCTTGAAATTGATTCTCACATCCAACCAATAGTAAATCAGAATGTCTCACAGCCAATACAAACTCTTATTTTGCTTACGTTTATGTTGAACATTGTGAATGCTTGAGTCTATCCCTTATGTTAATGTTCATGTCAATGCGCTATGCTTATGTTTACGTTTGCATTGTGAATGAGTCCGCTTATGGACGTACTCCTACCTTTTAGATTTAGATTTATTCAGTAAAAAAAGCAGTAAAAACTGTATGTGACGTATGGGGGGAAAAGATTATCAGCGCACGTTTTCTTGAGTTCCAGAATCCCTTCCCGTCATTTTAACTATAAATAGTTGAAAGATGAGTAGAAGTTTCACATAAATAAAAATAAATTTTAAAAAATCGCGAGATTAGCAGTATTTTTTTTAAAAAATACACATTTTCGTTTCCGAATTTTAGAAAACTTATTTGCATCGGTAAACGAATTGCAAGTATGATTTTTCTGCATCTGCTTTCTAAGTACGTACTAAAGCCATTCAGCAACCACTGTAAGTAACACTGAGGTAAAGGTAACGGTACACGGACACACACGAACATCCATGCCCCGGGCAGGAATTGAACCCATGAGCCTTCATGCCCACGAGGCAGCTACAACCCTTAATAAAAATCAATTTTTAAAATCGCAAGATTAGCAATATTTGGAAAATCGTAACTTTGGTTTCTGAGTTATAGAAAGCTTACTTGCATCGGTACTCGAATTGCAAGTATGATTTTGCTGCATCTGCTTTTCAAGTACTACAGCCATTCAGCAACCACTGTAAGTAACACTGGGGTAAAGGTAACGGTACATGGACACACACAAACATCCATGCCTAGGGCGGGATTCGAACCCATGAGCCTTCATGCCCACGAGGCAGCTACAGCCGTTAATAAAATTCAATTTTTAAAATCGCAAGATTAGCAATATTTGAAAAATAGTCTCTTTGGTTTCTGAGTTATAGAAAACGTATTTGCATCGGTACTGGAATTGCAATTATGATTGTTCTTGTTCTTAGGCTTTTCAAGTTCTAAGGCCATTCAGCAACCACTGTAAGTAACACTGGGGTAAAGGTAACGGTACACGGACACACACAAACCTCCATGCTCAGGGCGGGATTCGAACCCATGAGCCTTCATGCCCACGAGACAGCTAAAATTTTAAATTAAGCCCCTAATAAAAATAAATTTTAAAAATAAAATCGCAAGATTAGCAGTATTTGAAAAATAGTCTCTTTGGTTTCTGAGAAATAGAAAACGTATTTGCATCGGTGCACGAATAGCACGTATGCTTTTTCTGCGTCGCTGTCATGTTAACGCCGTGCCCATGTGTATGTGCGCGTGTAGGGGCCGCGCCGGCCGCCGCGAAGACCATCCTGGTGTGGGACTGGCGCGCCGTGCGCAGACGCTACGCCTGGCTGCGCGACTTCCGCGCGGACGCGGGCGAGCGCGCCGCCTGCGAGCGCCGGCCGCCGGCCGCCCCGGCTGCCTGCCGGGTGACGGGCGACCACTCCCTGCACGATGCCGACGCCGTCGTCTTCCTCATGAGCCGCGCCCGCGCCCCGCGCCTGCCCGCCCGACGCAGCCCCCGCCAACGGTCAGACGCGCGCTCTTTACCTTAATTCGCATCCCCCTATCTCAGAGCACTTGAAAATTGAAGAAGAAAAAAAAAAAAAAAAAAACGAAATATTTATCTACTACAGTTATGAAGATTCAGTTTTTTTATTAATGAAATGTGTTCATTAAAAACAGGTTTTCAAATAGGTTATGTTGGATTTTTCGAAACTATAAGTATTTTTGGAGTAATTGGGCGTCGAAGTTAGTCGCCCGCTCTGAAAATACTGCGCTTCTTAATCGTAATTTTAGGTGTTTTGAGGCAGTTGGAAGCTATTTAAGTTAGAATGTGTATATTATTTAATATTTTTTTGTTAGTTTCTTACAATGGAGCTTTTGGCATGCGTTTACATCTTAATCTTTTAGAAATTATTTAAAACCTATTTGAAATAAAGATTGCTAGCCTTCTATGGCCTCATCCCATTTACGCACTTGGATGCTACGTAAGATAGAATTTCTATATTATTTTATATCTCATTTTATTATTATTATTAATATTATTATTTACTTATATTATTTCATTTTAAATTGCATCCTTTAATTGTGAAAACGAATAGATGAGCGTCACTGTTGATGGTTGTTACGTATTATTGTAACGCCGCACAGATAACACGATAATGACGGCTGTTTTTCGTTCGCGGAAATATAAACGCTGAAAATTTATATTTGTACAATACCACAGTGTTTAATAATTACCAGTGTATATTTTTCGATGTATTTGTTTGCTAACACTATCATTGCTGTATTCTTTTTTAACTTTTAAACATTTTATTTTCTTACATTCTGCTTATTTTTTGCATCAAATATTTTACAAAAAATAATTTGTGAAGAGAAATTGTGGAATAAATAGTAGTACATAGCCATTACTAATGGCGATAAAGTACGTACTGTGTTAGCATCATTAGTTTTTTTACCAGAAATTACTCGCCCTAAACACTACTGCTTTGTGGGAAATAGTAGTGTTCAGGTCTTTCCTTCTCTCCATCTCCGATAAGGAATTGTAAAGTAGGTACTCAATATCTTATAGGTTTCAGTTTTGTTACTTGGCTAAATTTATTGTTTAAAAACTTTCACTATTAATAACGAGAGAAACAGTAAAGAGAGAGACTAAAATATTTTATTACCACATGCACAAAGTTTCGTAAAATCATTTCTTCACATCATCATGTACAAGATTACCAGAAATTGGTTAGAGAAACACGTGAATGAAGTTCAACAAAGATTAACGGCAGATTCTTTGGGTCGTCAATATCTAGTTAACATTTTGCCCTTATTAAGTTCTACTCTTCATAAGAACAGAATAATTTTCAATTTTCAAAATGGGTTCGATGAGCACACTGGCCTCGCCACTAACCGTTGTACTCTGTGATAAACACTTTTTCGACCGTAATTTAAGAAAAAAAAATCGGTTCTATTGAAAAATAGAACTGAATAAACCCAAAATGTTATCTAGAAATTTACGACACGAGTAAATATAATATATTATGTTAATATGTATTGAACTTCATTCACCTGTTTCTCTATCCAACTTCTAATGTTATTTATTACTTAATTATCGTCAAAAACATTTAAAACTGTGCGTGACGTACTACGGGGAGAAGTGTATTCTGCGCAAGATTTCATACATTTTGGGATCTTAACCCTAACCAAAACTCAAGTTGAATTATGAATACGGACGGAAAAGAACGTTCTTGGCAAGAATTGGTAAGAAAGTAGTTACTCCGGAAGAATAAAAGCTACTTGCAAAGGCAAATCAGCTCTAGATTTATTACGGCTATTATTCCTAATCGTGTTCTTCGTGAAGGAATCGACTTCCTGTCGCGAGGACATGAACGATAATTCAATAACAATATTTCCCACTGAACGCTAGAAGATATGCACAATCTTGAAAACTGGACTCCCTATAATATATTGGGTACTATGCGATCTTCATATATAAACCAAACAAACATACCGTCTCCAAACCAACATGGCCAAAAAGTTTTATTGATACACGAGCTCACTAGTTCTCACCCAGCGCTGAATAGCACGGCACGTTGAGATACTTAGGTTCGACGTACCAATTTGCAACGCTGGCAACAACCATCTCGTACTTTCAAAACACCCGTAGCATTTCTCGTGGCACGCGAGTTAAGTTCACAGTCTGGAGAGTAAGGTCACAGTCTGTCCACAGCTGGTACGCCCTTTTTAGCCGTGACGTAGCCAGGGCTCTCGACTCTCCGAGCCCCCGCTTTTGAAAATCAAGAAAACTTGCGCGTATTTGTCTGATCGGGAGACGCCTCGCCCTAGCTGTATACGCCAACGTTTCGGCCGCCATGCTGCGAACTTCCTCAGGGTGAAACGTTGGCAATTGTGCTTAGGACGCAGCGCCTCGCGGATAGGCGAATAGTTACCGACTCCAACCACGGAATTGTATGCTTTCGTCTATTTCGACCGGTTGTCAAAACGCCAAATAGTTAAGGACCGCCAAGTACTTAATGTGAAAGTAGACACTTCGGCTTAAGTCCAGTATACGGTACCACCTAAGGAAGTCGTTCAAACCGGCACTTCGCGCCGCTCCGGCGAAGGGGAAATCCACGGTGGAGGGGACGAGGGGTTCGTAATTGGTCACGAGCGTGACGTCATAAGTTAGGGGAAGAAATTTCACCCTAGTATCTTTCCGGAGCTCCATTATGATATAGTACTGCGATCATGGTGGTGTGGTGTGATAAAGGTTGTAGTGTTCTTTCTTCACGACGTGTTTGCAATTGCGCAGTTTGAATTCTGGATGCTTTCTTATTAAAGTGTATTGGCTATTATGCGGTGGATAGACTCAAGGATGTTTAGTCACGCGAGGTCCGAAGTCCCGAAACTCGCCGTGACTTGGATCCGGGCGAGCGAAGCGAGAAAACTTGCCGTTTAAAGTAAATTGGCATTACAATGCGGCGTATGAAGGGCGATCCATGAAAATCGCATATTCGTAAGTTTTGTTCATTTCTATCAGAGCGCGTAGCGTAATTTTAGGATTAGGAGACTATCCCCCCCCCCGCGTCATGCTTCTCTAAGGGTGTACCGTGTACTCTACTTTAACCGACACTTCAAACGGTTTTTTGTTTTGTTTTTTCCGAACAGATTCGTCTACTTCACCTTGGACGCGCCTCCAAACGCGGAGGTATCCCCCGACACGAGGAACGTGTTCAACTGGACCATGACCTACCGCCTGGACTCGGACGTGCCCTTCTCGCTCGGGGAGGTCGTGCCCCGGGGGCCCGTGCCGCCGCGCTCCAAGGGATGGCTCCGCCCGCCGGCCATGCCGATCGGCCTCGCAGAGGTCTTGGACCGCTCCCTGCCGAGCGGCGACAACTCGTGAGTGCCTGTTCATTCCGGACGCGACGATTTCATTGTAGAGTTGAACTCCCACGCAAAGGGCACTGACCAATCGCTTTCCGACAGAACAGCGTGTAAACAAATTGCGACGCGCCCTCCAAAAAGCTAACATTGTAGTCTCGACTCTTCCGGTACACCAGTCACACAATTCGCAGAGAAATGAAGAGCATATACTCGGTAGTGAGCTGGCAAGAAACATCGTGAATTCGGCTCCCGTGCAGACTTCCAAAGACCCATTCCTATCACTTTTCTTATTTACTCCACACCTACTCCTATTTCGTAGCCTCGTACCTCCTCCTACTCTCGTTTCTTCCAATCCCAGTACCAATTCCTCTCCATCTCATGTCCCAATTTCCTCACAACCTGTCACTTCTGGGAGACGTTTTAGGCATGATAGTGACCAAAGTTTTGTATTTACAATACCGACCTAATGAGATGTTAATCTGTAACACGTATGTCTAATGGAAATGAGTAAAATATGATGTTTAGAGTTCTAGTTTTTTAACACACACACATTTACTACTGGTACTAATTACATGTACCCGGAGCTACACATTACAGTATAGCTCTAAACATATAATACGTCCGATGATATTAACGTCCACTCAAAGGCGATATTTGCTATTTTAGTTGATACAATGAAGTATTTTTTAAATATCGTTGTCATTCTTATTAATCTATCAAAACAATTGTAATGTATACGTTTATGCTGGAAGAAATAAGTATACCGTTTGTACATTATATTACTCATTTCATTACATAAATAATTATATCAGTAACTTTTTCTACCCAGATTTTGTACCACTTGTAATAGTACTTACAAATAAATTTATTAAAAATTCCACCTATTTTCCGATATTTATAATGTATTTGATTCATTCCATTATTAACAGTGGAAAATTAAACATATTGCTAAGACTACCGTTTTAAATGTGTAATTAACCTCGAATTTTGTCAAGAGCTTTTAATGTTATATTTTTTATTTATATTTTATATATCTTATTTTTCATAATTTATCTCAGAGATCACACTCGATCACAAATGTTTAATTCTAACTAGTAGCGCTCTCAAGGGGGAGGGCTCATGAAGCTTCAGCCCCCTCCCAGAAACCAATGTTTTAATCTATTAAAAATATATTTTTACTAGTTTTCAATACTAAAGAATGGCATTTAAAATGTCACCTAATTACATTAATAATATTAATAATACAAATAAAAATACATGTTAGAAAGGAACTTGTAAAAGCAATTACTTTTAAGGGGATTATGGCCAGCGTGCTAAAAGGACAGTTTTTAGCACTAGCACTAAATGTGAGACGATGCTCAAATGTTCTGATAAAACTGTGAATACAATGAAAGACAAATACTTTCATCTCACCTCATTAGCTACTACTGTGCTTAATGTAACAGTACGAGTACATAGTTAAGCGATTTGTATACTTGAATTACAATAAAATGAAAGTCGGTAAGGCTGTCTAAAAACAGTATAAGACACACGTGGTAAAAGTGATTTAATTTTTCTCGTAGCTTTATTTCCTACTCGCGCAATAAAAAGCCACTTTCACCACTCTTATCATAAATACCTATTGTACTCAGCATAAATGAAAAATTATTTATAAGAAAACATGAAGTCGGACGGGAACTATACCTTCAGTTCCCTTCCTCGAGCAAAATCATGAGTGTTTTAATAGAATCATAAGGACTCGTGAGTAGATCTTATGGCCTTCTTGAGTAGAACACGAAATCAAACGTGCGGGAAGGGCGAAATCGCGATACGCTTTCATCGCCGCACAACCAGTACTACCTGTGATAGACAAATCATTATCATTCAAATTCCATGCAGAACGTGTGTATAAGGTCGGTCCGAATAATTGATTGATAATATCGTGTTTCCAGGCGGGTCAATTACTAAAGAAATTTTTCCCGTGTGTTAATGCGCTTTTTTATTCTTCAAGACATGGCTGAGATCTTCCCCAGCTGGATCGTGAGATTCGGCACCAATCTACACGTCAAATAGTGGAGTTTTGCCGACTAGATATCTCTCACCAGCGGAACACCGCCCCAGACACGACAGGTTCCAAGCACCCGACTGGTCTGAATGAGTTGATTGATTGTCACAGGCACGTCAACTACCAAGGTCATTAGTCCCGTAAGTTTAGTGCATGTTTTGGTCGGGACGTGGCGGTGATCTTCCCCTCGCCGAGATCCGGCGCCGATCTACCGTCGGCTTATTGGAGTTTTCCCCAACCAGATATCTCCCACCAGTGGGGCACTGTCCCAGCCGGGCCACTCTCTTAGCTCCTGATGGGTCTCCCGGCATGTGTGGTGGTGTAGTGCAATGCATGAAAGTGTGCAAGTAGAGTGAGGATAGGACAAGGAACAGGAAGGTGAGGTCGCGCGCGGTCCGTGGTCCGTTTGTTAGGGTACTACTCCGGCATTCGCTTGTTGTTGATCGGAGAAACCTCGGAAAACCACCGATCAGAGCAGACGGCCGCTAGAATTCTCTTCCAGACAGAGGCTGAATTCGACCTACCTGCTTGTGTGTAGTTAGTATTGAAAATCCTGCCACCGACGGGCGCGCACCCTTACGGGAAGCAATGCAATCAACTTTTAAAAAATCCCATCTGTTCCGTATCGAACCGGCGTGCGCTTGATGTCATCATTCCTTCGTCCAGTTTCTTCACAGAAAATGTACATTGCAAACAACTCGCATTCTTTATTGTGTTCATTATTAGACAGTCATTGAATAAACCTTGTTAAAAAGGCTTTATCATTTGCTTACAGGGACTTCTTTTATTGGACCTCTGCACCGAAAAATGATCGAATAGCTGTGTGGGTATTCAACGAATGCCAATCCAGCAGCTGGAGAAAGAAAGTCGTGGACCAATTAGCTACTTACATAACGGTGGACGTCTTCACCAGCTGCGGAAGGTTTACTCAAAAAGTGGAAACGATCCCTGAAAATTTAATTAAGAAATACAAGTTCTACCTTGTTTTCGAAGAATCATTTTGTAGGTAAGTACTTCTTAAAACGAATTAACATGCGAAACTATGATATTAATCGTGGTGCAACAACAGCGTATACATTCTCGTATTAACGGCAATTGTTTCTGATAAAACTCGACGAAGTTCAATTTTAAGAATTTTAAAATCAAGTTTTATTCACAATAAAGGATTGTTTTGATTATAACATAAACAAACAAAACTACACTAGAGCTTTTCCAAGATCGCGCCGAGTCGTCACCATCAGAAGAGAAATGCCGAGAATTTTGCCAAAGTCCCCTAAGTGCCGGGAGGGTAGCCAAGGTCCCCGAATATCCAGAAGAGCTTGCCGAAGGCCAAACATTCGCCGAAACCAAGTGTTCTTCGTCAATTTTTACCTTTCTTGCCATAAGTATTTAGACAAGATTTCTGCAATGTATGATTCATTAAAAATGGCATTAGGGAACACGTACAAACTAAATAAAATAAATATTTCAATAAATAGAGCTTCAAATTATTCGCATTCACGGAAGTTGCAGCTCTATCTGAGAGATACATTGCGGGCACTGGCGCGAGTATATCTATTGCGGGTCTTCCGGGGTCAAATACTATACGCGCAAGTTGTCTTAATTCCACGCTCGGGGGTGCGGGGAGAGGAGGGCTCAGGCTACGTCACGGCTTAAAAATGCGTTCCAACTGTGGGGCGTGAACTTAACTCGCCAAAGCGTGCCACGAGAAATGCTATGATTGTTGTAAGAGGTGGTTGTTGCCAGACTTGTAAATTGGTACGTGTCGTTCCGAGTCGAACCTAAGTATCTCAACGTGCCGTGCTATTCAGCGCTGGATGAGCACTAGGGAGCTCATGTATCACGAAAACTTGCAGGATAAATGACTAATTAACCTTCGAAACTTCCGCTTGGCAGAGACTAAGTGTCCGGGGAGGTCTTCAACGTGCTCAACCACTACGCGGTGCCCGTGGTGTTGGGCCGGGTTAAGTAACTAATTAACCTTCGAAACGTCCGCTTCGCAGGGACTACGTGTCCGGGGAGTTCTTCAACGTGCTCAACCACTACGTGGTGCCCGTGGTGTTGGGCGGCGCCAACTACAGCGCGCTGGCGCCCCCGCTGTCGTACATCGACGCGCGCGACTTCCGGTCCCTCTACCACCTCGCCGAGTACCTCAAGTACCTGGCGGGCCACCGCAGCGAGTACTCAAAGTTCCTGTGGTGGAAGGCCTACTACTCGGTGAAGACCCCGTCCGGCCTTTGCCGCTTGTGCCAAAAACTCCACGAGCGTCACGAGCCGAAAACGTACGCGGACATGGCGGCGTGGTGGAACGGGCCCGATTCTTGCAACGTTTCAAAACCGCAGTTTGTCGACTTTGAGACAGCGACGACGCCTTAGATATTAATAGGTATCCAGTTATAATCCCGTTTTCTTAGCGGAATATAATTATTGAGAAATAGCAAAATCAAGAAGGAAGTTATATTTTAAGCGAGAAACTTGTTAATAGTGATTAAATAAGTACTTCAATAAAGCAGATCTTATCTATTTTATATTATTTACTTTTGTAGGAGTTACTAATTATTTCTACTTTCCGGGCAATTATGAAAATATTAATAAAGATATTGATTATTATTAGTCACACTCGTGCAGGTTCGATATAAATACTCAAATTCAAACGTAGTGTCGTTTCAAGGTGACATGCTGAAAAGAGACGGGGACACTCCATTTAGTTGGGACCTTCGTTACGACTTTAATGTTTCGTATTGAAGCTCCCAATAGGATAGCAGTGTCCCTCTCTACTTCCAGCTCGTGACCTTGCAGGGTCACTACATTTAAATCGGAGTATATCTCGTTCGTGCAAGTCAACAGAAGACCAAGCCAAGTCTGCAAGATGGAGACTCAACTCCGGCGGTGGGGGTATGTACTCGTACGACAAGCGTCGGCAGCTAATCGGGCTCACTTAGCTTCTTCAGTCATCACGCGATCAACAGGAGAACTTTTAATGCGATTTCGGTCGAATAGCTTCAGAGACGTCGCGTGGTCAACAGATCCCTTTAAGGCGATTTCGGTCGGTTGGCTTCGGAGACCACACGCGGTCAAGGGGAGAACTTTATCGGCCAATGGCGAATAAGCTCATGTGTTAACACAACGCAATCTACATTTACTGAAATACACTAAAGTGTAGATGGCGTTCGCCAAGTGCGTGCGTGCACGCGCCTAGTTATTACCCGGAAAAAGAAAGATAAATTCCTTCGTTCACCGCGTGATGTTGCTGAAAGTGATTGATTAGTTACTCCGGGCGCGTCAACTGCTGAGGTTATTCGTCCCGCCAGTGTAGTCCATGCTTTTTCCTCGGGATGTGGCGGTGATCTTCCCCAGTTAGTTGGCGAGATCCGGCGCCGACCTACCGTCGGCTAGCGGGGCTATCCCTAACCAGGTATCTCCCACCAACGGGGCACCGCCCCAGACGGAACAAGTTAAGCTCCCGATTGGGCTCCAGCATGTGTAGTAGTGTAGTGCGTGTTAGTGTAAGTGTGTGTTACAACAAAGAGGAGCTAGGAAAGATCGCGTGCGGTCTGTAGCCCGTTTGTAAGGATACTGCTCCGGCATTCTCCTTCTCTATACATCATAAATAACGCTTGCCGTCGTAACTTCAATGCTGTCAATGATTGACTGAACTTGTCTACTTTCAATGACAAGCGAAATTTATCAAATTACGTTGCACCGAGTTAAACGAAGATAGAATGTCTGTATTCCCCTGAGACTCCTTCCGTCGCCGCGCAGCGCTAGACAGCGCCACCCTTCTGGTTACCCAACCAAAAGGCCCTATGTTGCCCGTGTCGTGCCTACAGCCAAGATCAAAGAGCGTGGGCAATAACTGGCAAGGCACCAAAGAGAACGACAGTTGGACGCTTTTTGGTTTAAAAACGATTTCGTATTGTAGTATAATTCCTAGGCCAATAACCCCATCTCGATCAGGTTTTTATTCAGTTTCCCTGTGCCCGTGAGAAAATGCTGAGAAGGCACTTTGTTTCGCTCCAGATCAGTAATGTAACCTGGCTCTCTCTACCCAAGACATCATATTCACTCGTCATACACGATTGTAATTGTATATGTGACTCAATAAATATTATTATTATTATTATTATTATTATTATTTATTGAGTAGAGCAGGCTTACAATTTTTAAGAATGTATGAAAAGAATACAAGAGATGGAAGAAAATAAAAAAGAGTGATACAAGAGAAGATATTTTAAAAAAATAAAGAAATCAGAAAATGAATTGAAGTATACAATATGTAGAAAGAAAGGATAAAAATACACTCCAATTATATACAACCAATTTCATTTTAGTATAAAGCACCAAGGAGGAAGCAATGCAATGAAAAAATGTAAAAGTCAGAGTGTATGGGACAGGCAGTACTCTAAGCTCTTAAAGAAGACTCAGTAATTTTGCGGAAACTTAGGAGATCCTTTACAACAAGAAAATGCACTCCTGTGAAAACTCCTTGTGATGTTAATACAGGAAGAATTTTAATTACAAATAATATATTATTCAAAAAAGCAGGAGAGAATTGGGAAATTAAAATAATGTAGATCTTTGCAATTACAAATTTGTAGCCATTTTTAAATGCAAATGGCAAATGTGCATAATTTTTAAAAGTGAAGAGAATTAAATTTTATAAGAACATTGCAAGTTTTAACATTCTATGAATATTCTAATATGAGTATATCAGTAATTTATATCTGGGTTTTAGAAATTTTTCAAACAAGTTTAATTCTCCACTGTTTGGTCTATTTATTTTTTTGATGCCAACATGAGCAGTTTGCTTAATTATATCTAATTTTATTTTTTCCTCTTTATGATACATCAGAGTTTTATCCTGTTGTTAGTTTCATAAAATAATCCAATTTGATGTTCAGGATTTGAAAGAACCTTTAATGCAATTTTCATCTAGATATGTCCTTTAAATAAGGCTAATTTCAATACAAGGACAATGGAAATGCAAATATTTATAAAACCTTTCAAACATCTACTTCATTAATTTAAATGCAGTTCCCCCACACACATATCATCATTGCAAACCCACAACAACATGTTCCCTTGGTATATTATTATATCATTAGAATGAAAATACATCTTCAATATTGAAAATTTTTATCAAAAGTAATTATCACATCATTAAATATAGCAACACAATTATATTAATTTCAGTGTAATGGTAATGTGAACCTGGAATAATGTCTTCCAATGCAAGTCATAAACATTGAATAGACTTATCACGTACTCCAGCTTTGGTATTTGCGATCTTTCTTTGGTATCAAACACTGCTATCAAACAAAGTTCCACAACCATTTTATTAAGACAACATTAACCATATCAACCAAATTGAGAGGTTTCCCAAGCAACAGTGCATTGAAATTACAGCACAGTTGCACATTTTAATGAAATTACAGCACAATTGTACATTTCAATAAAATAATAACAATGCACAGAATTTACTGAATTTCCAGACATGTTTTATAATCATGTTCATTTTTTCCCTCCCAAAAAGCCACTTGAAATTATTTCCTAAGTTTAAATGTAAACCAAAATGCAGGTATCCCATATAATAATTTGAATCATTGTCATCAATATTCATAATTGCTGAGGAAAGATAAGAATCTGTTCTCTGTCTCTGAAGAACATGCTCTACATCTTGAATTAATTCACCCTTTCCTGAACACTTTGGCTGCCACCATATAAACAGTGAAGTATAAGCCTAGTGTTCCAGTAAGAAAATGGTAAATAACATTATTTATAGCTCAAAAATGACACAGAAGAATTACTCTTAGGAAGAAATTGAGTTTACTGGTAATCACCATGACACACAAGTCATACATTTTTACTATGAAGTTACTTGTGACCATAGTTACCATAATTATTTGGTTAAAGTTTAGTATACCCTTAGAGAAGTGTGGTGGTACACCCTTAGAGAAGTGTGGTGGCGGGGCTTAAGCCCTAATTACTGTACGTGGTCTGAGTAAAAATTAGTAAATGAGTAAAACTTACGAATAGGAGATTTTCATGGTTCGCCCTTCATATGCTTTGTCCCCGCCGCATTGTAACGCCAATTTACTTTCAAAGGCCTTCGGACTTCGCGTTCACTATAAACTCCTTGAGTCTATCCAACGCATAATTACCAATTCACTTTTATAAGACATCACTTTTCAAAAAAACCTCCAGAATTCTAACTACCTAGTTAACGCCGGAACGGCGCGAAGTGCCGGTTTAAACGACTTCCTTAGGTGGTACCGTTACTACATTTCAGCCAATGGGTGTACTGTATACTAAACTTTAACCAATGCTTATACATTTTCGTAAAATTGACTCGAAAATTTTTCAACAAAATTTAATATAGGATATGGGTTTACCCTTCTATAATATTCTTAGTTGCATTTCAGTTCTACCAATAGATAACAGAAAATTTGAGAAAATGTGCAAAATGTTTTTTGGGCAGTGATAAATTGCAGCTAAAAAAGGTGGAGCAAAACTAAAAAGCTAGCCGAGACCTAAGAGATTAGAAAACTACCAAGTACGAGAAAGTCTGTGTCATTCTGTTGCATCACTAGTTATAAATTAATGTTATGTTTTTAGAATGCAAACCCACTTCATCCTTAATTTTCTCTAGTGAATGTTGGAATGAAATTAATTATTGTAAGCCCTGAGCATTTCTGAAATGCAGGCAAATATAATTTGTGAAATACTCTGGTTTACACTTTGCTTATTATTATTTCCTTTCATTCATTCAATCTACTTATTTCATTAGCAATCTTTATAAGAATTTTAATAATTATAATAATTTAATTTTTTAATAATCTTTATAATATTGTTTTATTTTGTTCCTCTACAGTTTTCTAATTAGATTTGCATTGTTCTTCATTGAAGTAAATTATTCATTTCTTTGCATAGTGAAACCTGCTTAAATGGTCACCTTTATTAAATACTGAAGGATCCAACACGAACATTCTCCAGCAATTCTAGCCAGGAGGACCTAGGGCGTGAGTCTCGTGAAAATGCTTTCCATTCTCTTTTTTAATACGATGAAAATACATATGTTGAACAGTTTTGTAAGAAACTTACATTTGGTTTTATTAAAGGAAGGTTCTTACAATCTATAAAAGATTTAGAATGTTGCATTGGCATTAAACATCATTCCAAATTAATTTTTAGAAAACACCTAAGCTGTATTGAAACCTTTAAGACTTCTAGAGATTTCATTTTGAACAATATCTTTTTATGAAAGAAGAACAAATGTAGGGTCTAGAAAACAAAGAAATGTTGTATGACTTTTGTTATTGAGAATGTGATATTATAGTTCTCTCTTATATTTGATGAGTTATCTGTAATGTTCTGCAATTTATTGGATTGTTCCTTTTATATTGTAAGATATTTTCAAATTTTTTCCTGTCAATTGCTAGAAGTATTTTGGGAACAAAAAAAATTATTTACAAACTATTTCTTTGCAGTACGAATAATGTAGTTTGCATTTCTCAAGTTACTTCAAAATATAGAAATAAAATGAAGTTAAATAAAATATATAATAAAATATATAGATAAAATATATATAGAATAAAATGAAGAATAATAATGGTAGATCCCACCCAAAGTTTGTTTTGAGAAAAAATTACTTTTCTGTTTTCATTTGTTTTTAATTGTGACAAACTTTTGAAGCTGGTAAGGGTTTTGTGATATCCCAATTTGTTTGATATTTCAGCATATAATAGGTATATGGCAGGAGTTTACCATCTTATTTCTAATTAAATACGTGAGGTCGTTTGGGATCTGTCAATATTATCCTGAGCACCTGAAATTGATATTCTTTTTTTTTTTTTTACTAATTGATGTCTGTTGTCATTATTGACTCTGAAATAATACTTATTAAAACATTATTACTCAAGTGGTAACCTTGGTAAACAAATTTTGTTGGAAAATATAAAAATTTACATTTAATTAATTAATGTAATATGGTGGGTATTAATATTTTTAAATTTTAGCTCATTAATGAATAATGTACACTGAATTAGGTGCTACATTATTTGTTTATATTACACTAGTGATGTTGAATGGACACACAGATATTTTGTCGTCATTTGATTTTTCTGTATCAAAGACCTACAAAACATGAATTGTGGCTACACCACAAGTTAGAGGATTTTTTTTTCTAAATTTAGCAATTGGATTTATCCACCTTTTTGTTACCAGGGCCCTATAATAAGAGTATTGAAAATTTCTATTGAAATTTCTATTGCCCTTTTTCATGCAGCATTACATAACTTTCTCTCTAATCCATAGCAAGAAAATAAAATCACTCACAATATCAGATTATGGATATTCAACATGACGATAAGTTTGTTTCAGGTTGTGTTTGAGGGGTAAGTTGTAAAATTATTATACCTGTGCTCTTGTACTAATAGTTTTTTTCATGTTTTTCATACTTCATAGTATTGTAGATGTGCACTGAATATGAAAATATATAATTTTCTTTTTCAAATGTGTATAATTGCAATTTATTTGGCCATCTTTTTCAGTAGATACTACATACACAGGACACTTGCATAATTTGTTCTTGTTTAAACATGACATGCTCTTCATTTCACTCTTTCTATGTGTGAACAGAATGGAGCACTCTGTAGGGGCATACAGAAAGAAATGTGTCAAAGTTTTGTTTATTTCCTGGATCCCTCTGCAGTACTTATAAATATGTTAAAACACCTATTTAATGTCCCTTCAGGGAGCTGAAAATTCTTACATTAAATGGTGGTTTAGTGTATTCTTTGAGGAAGCAAGTTAAAATTAATCACAAAGTAACGATTTTATTTTTAAAGAATACTTTATTTTTATCATTGGGATCATCTATAAATTATGTAAGGAGAGGGAGGGGTTTTGCCCCAGCATTATGCTGTGTTGCATAGGGGTAAGACTGTCATGGTTTTGTGGTACATAATACTTATGTTTATGTTTACAATTTTTCAACATTTACTGAAACAGTTATTTTGACTCAGTCTTGTATTAAAACTTTAAAATAATACCTAATTAAATGAATAAATTAAAAAATTATGCTATATAAATTGTTACAATAATTGAAAATATGTTTTCATCCATTTTTCATTAAATCTGTTGAATTATAAAGAAATTTTTTTTCTTTTCTTTTTTTATCCAATTAAATGGGTGTCCATGACCCACAAGTCATCTATGATGGGAGCATGTGAACGTGTATTATTAGAAAATATTTCATCTTAGCTTCCTTCAAAAATTGTCCCCAATCTTATTGTTGCATGCAGACTGCATCGCCAACTATTTCTGACTTTCATTACATACATTTTAACATATAACACAAGTAAATTAATTGAACTTTTTCTACTTTTAAATGTATTTTACTTATTGTCAATTGTGAGGGATCTTGTTTAAACATTACATTAATATTTCAGAGGGGAGAGATGGTATTCAAAATAGTGTAAATTTGCTTATGTAATTTTACAGACTGTCCCAAACATAATTAAATCACAATATGGTCATACAAGTGCTAACGGCAAGTATGAAATTTATACAGATGAGTCACCACCGCTACATCACAACCTGATTCAGATCATCAAACTTAGTGTAACACCACCTTAATACAGATGTCTATGCAATGATTAGTGGTTTTTATACACAACAATTAGCTACACTGCATGGCATATAACATCAGATGACGTATTTGGGATTGGTTTCCAACTCTTGGAGGAAGAATATGGAGATAAATATCCAAAAAATTGAAGATTAAATGCAAGTTGTGTGTCAAAGCTAATGACATTAAATCAAAAATATAATTGCATTAACTACTTGTAGGCATCTTCCCCAACTTTCAGAAATTAACGTTAAATGTGGGAAAACATTAAATCGGGGTTCTACTGCACTTGGTTGATTAATTGACATAAGAATGCAAGAAATTATTTTATGAAGTTGTTATATTTTACTACAACTCTTTAATGGAAACAATAACATAGGAAAAATTTCCAACAAGCAAAGTGTTATTGAAAACCAGTGAAAATGTTAATTTTGAGAAGAATGATCACCAATCAGAAAGGAACAACAGATACTTGTGCCCTTGGAAGAGGAAATCAAAATGTACTTCCTGAAAATGTAATGTGGACCTTGTCCCTTCTTGCTTCATGCAATTCCACTGTATAAAAGAGAAGTGTAATTTTGTTTGTTTTTGTTCCTTGTCATCATTGAATGTTATCTGAACTCTGCCTCTTGAAAGCTGCCACTTTTCCTGGCTTCAGTGCTCACAACTTAACGCATTCATTGAAGACCAACAGATGTTTGCACATTTGCTGAAACAGATGGTTGATTTCTCAAACATTACACGTCGATATAATTATGTGTGTGTTGATTCATGATAAACTAACATGATTATCCCTATTAAAAGAAATCTTCAAACAGTATTTCAAAAAAAAAATTCTATGGGAGTCAGAAAGGAATTTATGTTAAGAGGATGTAGAATCTCTAAATTAGAAACAAATGGAAGTATTATTTTTGTATTTAATGACAATTTTCAATATATATATTTCCCTCTATTTCTATTAATTTTATTGTGATGTTAAATCACATAAATCTTCCCCAAACCAGCCTGAACTATTGGCTACAACAAAAGGAAACTTTTCCATGGTTTCTCTGAACGGTTCCATTCAAATGCTGGGGTAATACCTTATTAAAAAGGCCACAGACCATGTGGGATTTTTTCTTTCTCACCTTAACCTATCCTTTCTCCTTACACACTTGTAGCCCACTACACTTTCACCCATTTCGGGAGACTTGAAGTTTGTCCTTGGGGAGGGGGGAGCCTCCAGTGGAGATACCTGCAGTGGAGGAGGAAATCCCACCAGCTGTGTAGGTCAGCATCAGATCTCGTCTTCAGCAGGGAAAAAATGCCACCACCTCCTGGGATGTGAAAAGCTCATCACAAACAGCAGCAGTTGAAAGACAAGTAATCAATGAAACATTACGTTACATTTAACCTGAACATTCCTCAACTCACTGTCCTTGGGTAAACTCGTTGGTATTTCTGCCAAGCAAGTTTGAATCCATTGAAATTTGTTAAAAATAATTTGTTTACTTGACAAATTTATTTCTGAATTATGAGATTAATTTTCCTGACATTAATCATTTTCTTATTACAAAAATTTCAAAATATGAACATTCAAAATTTCATGAAGCAGTTGCATTGCTTACTTCTACTCTATGCCTGGCTCTTTAGGTGAGAAATGGCATGTGAAGGTTGTATTGCCTTTACTTACGTTAATGCAATTTTGAACCTATGAACAGAGCAAACAAGTAAGGCCATTGTCACTTTGCAACCAGAGGGACACAACAAGAGAGAGGAATGGAGTGAGAAGGCAGGGAGTGGTTGCCACGCCTTTTCCATAAGTTATCCTTGACACTTCCCACACCTGTTCCACAAATAACACTCACTGAAAATAGATTTGCTTTTACAGATCCAGGAGATTGCAACAATGGAGGTGGAACCTGCCAAATTGACTTGGTTAGGTGAAGCCCCACCCGCTGACAGCAATCTGCAACTGAGAATTTGCTGTTGACTACAGAAGACTTCTTGACTGCAAATCTCTGGTAAACAAAATGAACATTGGATTTTCAATTACTGCAGTTTGCAACAGTGCATTTCTAATAAAACAGCAAAAAAACTTGAATGCCTATTGAACAGTTTTCAACATACCCTCTACCAAATTGGAAAGTTATACAATTTTTCCTGCAACATACAATTTCCAATGACCAACTAAGACCATCAGAGAAAATAGGATAGCAGGATAAAATGGTGAGAATGGCCCCAAAGGGGGAAAGGATTTTCTGGGATGATAAACTTGATCAAATTAATGAAAAAAATTATGTTTATACGGTTTTCTCCTTCACTTTGCCACCTTTGAACTGCAGGGGAAAAATGTGCTTTTGCTCTTTATTTTTTATTTATTATAGGTAAATGATATTATTTTTTGTAGGAAAATATTATTTTTTATAGGTAAATATTAAGGGACATGTATAAATCCTTTATTCTTTAAACATTTCAGAGAGTCTTTATGGAATTTTCCAACATTTTTCCTAGCTTCTTTAGGCTTGAAAACTCCATTCAAAAAACTAAAAGAATCTTTCGAATATAAAAAAGTGGGGGGAACAGGTTATTTAACTAGGTTCGAACAAATGTTAAAACGTCAGTTAAATTTCGAATTGATTCCCACAAACCACACATTTTCTTTTTCTCGACTACTTTGTTAGAAGAGAATTAATTGTAATGATGCACTGTAAAACAGAAATTTTTTTACAAAAGATCTCTTATGCAGGGCCCTGGTAACAAAAAGGTGATTAAATCTCATTCCTACGTATAGTAAATAACGTTTTTATCATGTTGTGCAGTCGGAATCCATGTTTTGTGCGTCCTTCAAACTGAAGAAATTGATTGACAGCAAAATGTGTACTTGCCCATCCATCTGTGGTTAAAGCTATTACTAAAACAGATTTTCTCCAAAATTTATTTGCTTAATACAATTTTACAACAGCCTCACAGGTCCGATATTGTAAATAGAACTTAGAAATTTGATCATTACAATCCTGAGTACTGCTGAGTACATAATATAAAAGAAGGCAACAAAATATAGATATAAATTAGAAAAAGTAGTTAATAACATAAATAGGTTTCAATACAGTCTTTCAACCCAGCACAGTTTATTCTACCTGATAGTAATTTGTACATAAATATAAGGTCATTTGTATCACATTTGTAGATTTGCAATTTCAGAATAATCATGAGAGTATCTTGGGTTTGTTAAATGTACTTTAAATGTGGCATAAGAAAATAAAATATGTTGATGTTAAATTTTCTTTGTGTTTAATAATGTATAAGAAGACCAAACTACTGAGCAGGACATCTAAAGAATTATATTATAGATTTAAATTTTATAGAAAAATGTTATGGTATTTCGTTTTATAAATCCAAGCATCTTCAATGAGCTATTAATAATAAAATTAACATGGTTATCAAAAGACAATTTATTATTTATAATTACTCCCAAGTTACATTTTTCAAAATATTATTATCAAGCATGTAGCTACTATCACTCATTTGGCCATGATTGCAACAAAGTAGTTCACATTTATTGATATTAGGCCATGCTGAAACGTAGACCCCCTCACACACACTAATATAAACGTGAAAGATGTATTAAGAAATTATCTGTTGAAATAAAATGACTTATATGACAACAATTACGTTTAAGCTAGTAAAAGTTTTTGGAAATATATTTTAAATAATAGGTTTAAGTAAAAGTATTTATTGATTAAATAATACTATTTATGCAGTGTACTTGAAATGCTAAAAACTTTTGTTGGGTTTAATTATTTTTTAATAAAATCACTTGTTAAATATTTGAAATTTAAAAAAATGTGAACTTTTAGTAGAAATTAATTTAATGTTAGCGACATTTGATTACATATATTTTTCCATTTCATAGATACATACATATAGTAAATGTAACTTTCATTATCTGAAACATACATATATTGGAATATGATTATTATTTAATATAGTTACCTTTTGTCAACAATAAATTGCAATCATTTTGTTATTTACTTTATTTTCATGGCAATATTCTTTGAGCTTTTATTAGCTGAAAAGGCGTAAATGATGTTGTTTGTAAATTAGTTTACATATTTCATTCTCAATAGATATTAAAGCCAATCCATTTGATTGAGTACTGACTAAAAATAACAATTTATGGTAAAACATTCGTTAAAAATTTTATGAAATATCAGACTATTGTACCGCAACTTGTAAAATGCAATAATGATTTTCTCAAGTTCTTATTTCTTTTTCAATTTTTTACAATTTTTTTCCATCAACTGAGTTCAAGCACCAAAATGGGCAATATTTTTTGAGATTCTTTTTACCTGAAAAGGAGTAAATGATGTGTTTATCAATTAGTTTACATATCTCGTTCTCAATAGACATTAAAGCCAATCCATTTAATCGGTATTGACTAAGTACTAACTGTAAATAAATATTTATGGTAAAATATTCATTGACAATTTTATGAAATATCAAACTACTGTACCGCAACTTGTAAAATGCAATAACGATTTTCTCAAGTTCTAATTTCTTATTCAATTTTTTAGAATTTTTCCCCCATTTTCATTATCCCTTGACTTGCGGGGTCCTGAGCGGTCACTCAATCTGCCTGGGTCTAGCACCAGCACTGGGTTCAAGCACCGAAATGGGTTCTCGAGCCACCTCAGGCACAAAGCAAAGGTACAGGTCCAAGATGGGTCTAAAAGTCAACTTAGCATCGTGATAGGGGAGTTTCCTCACTGGGATGAGTTCCCAATGGAGCAGTCATGACCTTGCGAGACCCAGGTAGTTGCTCAAGGGCCAATAGACGGCCGGCAGAATGTGGTATACCCATTCAATATTTTGACTTTATAACACTAATACAACTCGAACTGCTTTAAAATGCTGGATTTGTGATGGAGACATTATGAACTTTATTCTAAGCCATCCTGAAACTTTAATGTTATAAATGGGAAGCAGTGAAAAAATAAATTCAGTTCTCAGGGAAAATTTTGAGAGGGTTATAAAACTGGATATTATTTCTTAAAAACATTAGTACAGTTTTCTTGCTCAATTTTTAATTGTTGGGGGAATATTGTTTATTTGTACTTTGTTAAATAAGAGAGCTGACCAATCAGTGTCAAGGACATTAATATTTTTTTCAAGTGGTGTGAAATTACAAATCTGGGAGAATAGAAAAATGCATTAGAACCCCGGGAACTGCCAGGGAAATTTGTTCCCAGAAATGAGAGGCCACCTTGTTATCGCTACAGTCTCTACACCACTCTACTCAAATCATCATTCATAGGTCTCAATGATCTGGAATTGGTTAAAGGCCACTCAATGTTGTGGGGCCTTAAAAACCAGAAACTGAATCAACAACAACAAAAGCAATAGAATGGAAAATTCTATGAAGATGTAGATAGACCTACCCAGAAACTGGAACTTCATAAGACTCACAATTTGGCATCGACTTTTAACTGCGGGAACCTTGTGATATATATATATATATATATATATATATATATATATACACATATATATATATAAATACAATGACCAATCTGATTGTTTTACTGTGATTGGTAAATGTAGAGGGACCACGTAAGGACAACACAAAAACACATCCAAACATCCATGCCCGAAACGGGGTTCAAACCCGTGACCCGTCAGCCTTAGTGACCACGACTATCCAGGCCAGCAATTGTATTATTGTTGTCACTGATCCTTACAGTCACTGGATCAAAAGTATGTATGTGTAGTCTTGAAATTACCGTTTTAAAGTGTGATCCTGTTGTCATAAAGGCTAAGTCATCTGCATATAAATATTTGGTCACATTGAGAGGTACTAAATGATGAAAACGGAGAAAGGGTTGGGACTTACCCTTAGGGGACAGTAGCGAGGAATGGATTGAAACTTGAAAGACTCACTGGAATTGGGGGAGCTTGGAAAACGTGACTTTTGTTTCATTTTTAGTAGCAGAATTTCAAGATTAACGTAGGGAAGGGTATTAGAGAAGTCAGCCAGTAACATAAGTATTTGTGGTTTAATCTGCAAGGTCTTGGTAATGTGCATACGATAGAAGCCAAATTGTGCTGCTTTGAAAACATAGGTCATTAAAGTTGTCTGTGAGAGTAAAGAGCCTTTCGTACAATTTGTTGGGTTTTGCGAGTAGACTGAACTTTGGGTACCTATTTACAAGGTAATTTCCAGATTTGAACACACACACACACACACACACACACACACACACACACACACACACACACAATCGATAGTACTTTTGTGAAATGGACAAGGCCATAATGTACTTTGGACAATTGTCTACAGACTACTGTGAAGCAGAAGCCCTTGGCAAAAGTCGAAAGTAGCTCATTAACTTGTGTCAAGAGCCCTTATATTCAGATACCCAGGTGAAAATTAGAAATTGGCGCAGTAAAGGCCCAGTACTGGCAAACAGTGCTCAACCGTTGGTGACCAACCGTTGGCGCGGTAATGGAGGTATAACGCGATCAACTGCCCCAGCAAGCCAACGACTGACTTTTGATAGTAAAAGATCTTTTGTTTGTTTGAATTGCGGCATAAGTACATCTGAAATAAAAATCGTTGTAATTGAGTGTTGAAATTCACAAATCAGCAAGATTTGTTATTGTTTTACTTAAGGATTATTATGTTATTATGACATGTGTCCTACTATCGAATAACCTATAAAAATATTAATTTGATTGTATAAAAATAAGTTGCAACATGGGCTAAAATTATTGTTAAATTGTTTTAAAGGTTAAGGAAATTTTCCGAATTGGTCGCGTCGCGTTATCGCAAAAACAAAGAAAGAAACAATCAAAGAAATACATGTATTTCTTGTTTATTACAGATGTTATGAATTAAATTTACTTACCCTTTGGTAATGTCCATGATGTTCAATTTGCAAAATGAGGCACTCAGAAACACTTCGTCGATTAATCTGCAGCGACTTGTTTATTGTGGTTTATACCGACATGTAAACTGCAAAGTACCGAACTCTGAAAGAAGCAGGTTTGCCAATCAACTTCTCCCAGTATATTCAACATGGTCGCCATTAAAAACGACACACTTATGGCAACCAGTGAGGAAAGAGAAAGACATGAATAGTCACTGCTACAAATAGTCACAAAAAGTGACGATTCGAGATTTTTCAGTTGTAAATGGTTAATATTATTTATTGATTAGAAATATTAATTAAAAATATGACGAATGCATTGATCCATTAAATTAGTTTAAAATAATTTTAATCAGTTTCAATAAATAAAATAAGTAAAACAGTAAAAAAACTAATATTGTGGCGTTTGTATCAGCTGATATATCAGCGTTGCGACAGTATAGTTCAAAAAATTAAGCAATATTGCGCCAGTACTTATTAACAAGCATCGGCATCTTAACGGTTAAAAATTTTTACCAGTGCTGCGACAGTACTGATTACCCACTGTCGTTCGCCAGTGCTGGCCCAAGCACTGTTCACAAAAATAAGCAGTTCCGCGCCAGTACTCATTACCAAGCATCGGCATCTCAACGGTTGCAAAATATACCAGCGCTGCCACAGTACTGATTACCCACTGTCGTTCGCCAGTGTTGGCTCAACCTTGCGTCGTTTATCAGTATCAGTATTTAGTAGTACGCAGGAATTTCCACCTGGGTATATATAATACGAATAAATTAACAAAAATTAAAACACAAATTCATAAGTATAAATATTACTTTGTAAACGTGTATCACACTAAAAAAACAAATTAGTAACTTTTGACTCAACCATCTCCCCAAAACACTGCGCACTACCCAAAGGCTTTGATGCCCCCCCCCCAGCATTGCTGAGACGATTGCTTTCATATTACCCACCAAATTCCCAAACACATCTTCCACTTCCTACATAATCCAATTAAAATTCCCTAAGACTATGATACCCGAGGGAGAGATGAGGTTTTGAACCATTTACACTATCAACACAAGACTCCAAAGCATGCTACTTCTGGATAGGAGACTAGTGTGAAGCAGAAGCCCTTGGCAAAAGTGGAAAGTAGCTCATTAACTTGTGGCAATGGCCCTCATATTCAGATACCCTAAGATTTACCATAAGGCAGAACCAAGAGTGGCATATTCGAAAGGTGAGGGGCTCAACCAGTCAAACAGATTACGTACAACTGATCAGACTCAAAAACAGACTGATACAACTTATCTTTAGACCCCAACCCGCAGAAAACATGCATATGATTTAAAGCCACTGCTAACAATTGAAGGTTCTCAGTAGCCAAAGTTAAAATAGAAAATGCTTTCAACAACCCACACATTAGGATCTTCCAATCATACCTCATTTAAAAATATAAGCATTAGTCATCCCAGAAAAAAAAACAACCATTACTTTCACATTACTTTCCTCATCACCAATGCCCTAGAAGAGTTCCCAATCACCATACCCCCTCCTAACCTTAGTTAAACCATTTATTTTCCAAAATAGTTGATCTGCTAATTCCAGGCACTTCTAGTGGTAAGTAAAAGGCAATTTGGGTGGTTTGTGAACTAGAATGTCGAAAACCCTGCACTGAAATAGGTAACTTATAGCTCAAGTGAATATTGAAAACTAGTGGTAATGAACTAATGCAAGTCTGTGCAGATTTGGGACATGCACTGATACATGTATTAACAGAATATATTCAATTGATTGCCACTGTGACAATTAAAAGACTGTAATCACTGCAATTCAACAATGCAGGCTGCACTTGCAGAATTTTTTTGTTTGCCCATGACAAATATTTAGACATCTCATCTCTCTATTTGTGTTTAATTTGAGAAGTATATCCCTGAAGTACTGGGATTTCAGAATGATGACACCAATATCCCTGTAAATTTTAAGTGGTGGTATTCATTGATATAAAAACCTATAACAATATTTAACCTTAACTCCATGACATAATCAATATTTAACCATAACCATGACTCCAAACAATATTTCAATATTTCTGCTCCATAATAAAACATTACCTGATGAAGACACTGGAATAAAGTCGTTGTAATTTTCAACACGACCCACCATAAAAATAGATCAATAATAAAATCACCCTTAACAAAATTCCTTAAATTACCCTGGGTATTTACCTCAACCTTGTATTATCTTTCATCCTCCAGCCCTAATTCAGGGCAGGTGAGATTTGGTTTAATATATATTTTCAATCTTGTTTCTAATCCTGCCATCCTGCTGGGATGCCTCTGGTTAATTCATCACAAAAAATAGGGTTGGCAAGCTTGAATTAGTAACATTGAAAAAAATTAATTAATGTTTGCTAAGAATTGGTCAATCCGAATGGAATTCGAATTCGAGTCTTCTGGCTTATCAGGGGGCTGGAAAGGTGACAATTATGGCTAATATATAACGTAGATTTACTACTTTCATAGCCAGGAAATGTTGCTGTTAATGTGGAAACCAAATAAACCATTATTTAAAAACAAAATGTCTGAATCTTTAGAATTTCTTTTGATTTCCTGCCTGGAGTGAATGAGTGTAATTGTATTCCTGAATAAATCAGATCTCTACTTTGCATAAGAGCCAGATTTTTACTTTGTTCCTCATTCAATTAAAATAATATTAAACATTCTGGTACACTTCACTGTGTATTCAGTAGCAATACTTACATTATTAATTAGGCATTGTCTGTTTCAACACTTTTGACCTACAAAGGTGATAAATATTTTTCAAAAATTAACTTAGAACTGGACATCCTAAGGCAATTAGTCATACTCTAATTTTGAATTACTATGTTAAGCAAGTTACATACTGGATTAAGAATTTTGAATAAAGTAAAAGTTTTGTTTGTTGAAAATTATAAATGTTTATTTGATATTAAAGTGTTTAATCCCTAATCCACTACCTGCTCCATATTCCTTCTGTTTCAGATAATATGTACCCTGGTGAAAATTGGCGCAGTAAAGGTCCAGTGCTGGCAAACAGTGCTCAACCGTTGGTGACCAACCTAATTATCCCTGTTCAATGATATTTGAATATCATCTTCTAGTCAAAATAAAATGGTATTGAATGTTTGAAGTAAATTATCTGTTCATTAAAATACTAGTATAGTGGGTGTGTATTTAACCTAAAAGAATGTTGATTATTTAAAAAAAGAACATATTTAGAAAATTAAAAACTGTGGTAAATTGATGAAAACATTGTTTAAAATGTATTATATAATAATAAAACAATAATGGAAATAAATTGAAATGTTTGCCTTTTTATTTTATTTTTATTTATTTATTTTTCTTTTTAGATGTATAATTACCATTATGCCTCTTCCAGGATTTAAATTTCTTTGATCATAATTTCGTATAATCCCTCAGTTTAGCATAGCCTGTGGTATCTTCAAAAATTAATTAATTCACGTATATCTTCACGGTAGTTCATTATAAGACAATAGATAGCCCTAGCGCAAAGACGAACATGGGCGCTATATTTGAACCATAAATAAAATCGACATATTAGTTCATTGCGACCTGTAGTAGGCTGAAAATTGACTTGTAAACGCTACTACAGGTCGGCATTTAAACTAACGAGTGAAGAAACTTGTTAAATTCTACACAGAAATACTCGTAGTTTCAATGCGCCTGTAGTAGCGCTAGTAACTTGACTGCAGCGCACTACAGGTCGGCACTTGACCTAACTGAGTGAAGAAACTGTCAAATTCTTCACAAGAAAATACTCTTAGTTCCAATGCGGAACTGTAGTCAGCGCTAGTACTTGAACTGCAGCGCACTACGAGGTGCATTACGAAACTAAGTGCACTACGCTTATCGCTCACCGGGTTGGAATGTAGTTCTAGATGAGACTAGATAGGTTGCGCTGCACGTCATAGTTATAGCGCTACTACAGGTCGCCATTGGAACTCAAGAGTATTCTGTGAACGATTTTTGACAGTTTTTCACTCGTTAGTTCAAAGCGTGCGGAACCTGTATTCTGCGTGGCAGTCACGTTATCTAGGCTCACTACAGGTCGGCACTTGGAACTACCGAGTAGTTCTTCTGTGTAGAATGTAACAATTGTTTTCATCGTTGTTAATGCCGACCGTGTAGTAGTTAGTGCAAATTTGTTGATAGGTTCGCGGCTACCTACAGGACTGGCATTGTACTATGGTGATTTTATTCATTGGTTCAAATATAGGCCCATGTTTCGGCTCTTTTGGCGCTAGGGTATTATTGTGTAAATGAAACTACGTGAAGATATACGTTGAATTAAATTAATTTTTTCGATATACCAGCGCACGGCTCGATGCTAAAACTGAGGGATTATACGAAATTATTGAATTCAAAGAAATTTAAGAATCGTTAGTGGAGAGGATAATGGTAATTTATCATTCTAAAAAGAATAAAAAGGCAAACATTTCAATTTATTTCCATTATTGTTTTATTATTATATAATACATTTTAAATTATCACCAAATTACAAGAGTTTTAATTTTCTAAGTATGTCCTTGTTTTTAAATAAAAAGCAACATTCTTTTAGGTCCAAAACACACTCGCTATGCTAGTATTTTAATGAATAGATTGAATTTAATTTGAACAATAAATACCATGTTACATTGACTCAAAAATTACTTTCAAAGACCGTTGAACAAGGGTGAGAATGTCGCAGAAACAGTAATGGTTTCTTCCATTTGGCTTCCAAGGTTTGAATGCCTCTGGTACATATCTGAAACAGGTATTTATTTATTAATGTAGGTTTGCCTTTCAGTTGTTACACAGTGAACTGGTAAAGGCAGTAAATACCAGTAATTAGATGGGAATGGAGATGAAAACCTAGATGTATGAGTATATATACTCATGTGGCTCATTCAGGAACATGTAGTTAGTAAGTGTTTAGGATGCAGAAAATTAGGAGATATTAAAAAGATAAAAACATACATTTTTAAACAAAGATTTATTTGTTTTCCACATTGATAAAGGCAATTTGCATTCTTCTCAAATGAGCACCATGTTCACAAACTATAAAATATCCTTAATTCTGTGTGAAATAATTGATTATGGGGCCTGTGGCTTAGTAAGGTGATGCAATATCTCCTCTTGAAAACCACTCTAGAAATTACAAACAAGAATTACTATTGTTCTATACCCAGATAATTGAGGAAATTTTAACAAGAGCAACCTTTTATTTCCAGATCAGGGAGAAAGGAGATGGAAATGTTTCCTCTGGTAGCATGTGCCACAAAAGCCTTTTTCATTGGGTTATCTACCTTAACTATTCATTCTTTCACGTTAAACAAAACATTACTTAATGGGTGAATTTTACAACAAGAACTGAGAAATAAAAACTATACAAGGATATTTCCTGACCTTTTTGTGGAAGTTATGTATAATATGTGCAAGAATTATACTCCTCCCTATCAAAATAACTAAAAATTATTTTTAATTTTTTAAAAATTTATTTATTTTCCTCTAAACAACACATCTCATTGAAATTTTTAAAAAAATGCACGATTACATGTCGGTGTAAGCCCCTCAATGTAGCAAATCACCCTCTGAACAAGTAACTCCTATTGCTTGGGAGGTGAAATATTTCTGAATTTAGGAAAGTTCGTTATACCCTCTCCAGAAGTACACTCCTTCTATTGTTCTACCTTCTCTTTATTAAATGTGAGTTTCTTGCATAGGAATATCAAACAAATAAACATACATTTTGTTGTTTTCAAGAGTACATGAAAAAACATTCAACTCACATATTCTTCTTGCAAGATTACAACAAATAATATTCCTTGCGATTGCAAGCAAGTCACAACCTCCTCCACTCATAACTTTTAATGGTCCCTGGGGTCTCAAAAAAGAAAGGTCTTTCTTAAATATAAGCTTAAAGGTTCCAGGATGGTTAGGCAATAATGGGTAGAAATTAAGGGAAAGAACATTAGATGAGACAGAGAAAAAAAATGTAGTTTATACACATTATATTATGGATCAATGGCAGTAGGTGGATAGGGAATAGATAGTAAGAACATAAGGAGAATAGAGAGTGAGGGCAGGGAACAAGCGAGAAAATCAAAAAGGAGAAGGGGGGAGGAGGGAAATGTGGATCTAAAATAGAAAAGAAGAGAGGCCAGAAAAGTGTTAGGGGAAAGAGCAATGTGGGATCAGAATTCAGATATCAAACAGGGTTTGTGACTTAC